CACGTTAAACTTTGTGTTCTCCAGTTTTATTATTTTCAGTAGATCTTGGGCGGAGTTTCGGTGTGGTCGGAATTCCCAACATCCGGCCCCTCAAATATTGCCTCCAGTTAAATCGCGATAGCCACACAATAGCTCCCAAGTACCTAATACCCTCAACTATCACGCACAAGGATTCGATCAACAAGTGATTGTTCGCTGACCTTTCCAGCTCTAAGTTAGCTCCACCTATCCAGCCGTAGGGTCCCACCGAAGTGATTGCTTCATGGTGGCCCCCCAACTTCACGTTGGTCCCACTTATCCAGTCGTTGGTTTCCACGGAGTTTCAGCCTCTCATACTGCCGCTTGTAGTCTTCAGTATTAATTGTTCTACAATTGTGCTTCGGGGGACTTGAACCCTTAACCTCGTGTCATGAATACCTCACTCTTAACCAATAGGCCAAGAGGTCATTGGCTCATTTTTCCTTTTCTTTTTATAATTGTTCGTGTGACTTTTTAACCATCACATTCACATATAGATGAAAATCATTCATTTGCTTTCACCTTTTAGGCCCCAGTGGTTTATCACATATATTTGGTCATTTTTAACTGTGTATTTAATTAATTCAACTCAACCCTCTTAAGTATTATAAGTATATGTTAAATAATATAAAATTAATCTTCTTCACACGTTATACAAATTTTAATACGCTATTTACGCATTCACATAATTTTATTTATTCAGAACTTTCAATCATATTTCTCATACTTTTACATTAAATCTAGTTGAACATTGTATTTTAAATATTTTTTAATATAAAGTTAAAATTACATTCAAATTTAACTTAATCACCGATTTCAAAATTAACTTTACTTAATCAAAAAAGCAATCAAAACCAAAATAATCTATATTCAATCATCCCCTTAGGCTTTAGGACTTCAAATTGATGTGACTTTCTTCATTTAGGCTATGTTTAAAAGTCAACTAAGCTAGCTTACATTTATTTGGTTACCTTATATGCTTATTGTATTCAAATAAGTCTCGGTTGATAAGACGACATGTTTTAAAAAGTTTGAGCTTATCTCATACGCTACTTAGGTAACTTTCAAATAAGTTAGTTGAATTTTTTATTTCAACTATCTTATCAGCTAATTTACCAAACACCTTTATAATATAAACTAATTTTTTAGTTGTAATAAAAACTTACATATAAGCTACCTTTTTCAACTAGTTTTACCAAATATACTTTAGTGGACTCAATGGTAACAAGGCCAAAACCCAATTTCGTGCCGATTCGAGTTCGTCATTTTTTATGAACTGGAACATGCCCGAGTAAGACTAAGAGTTGGTTCATTGAACCGACAATTCATAATTGGTTCGACAAATTAATAAAATAAAGAAATAAATAATAATAAAAAAGAATTAGTTTTAAAATTAGAATTTCGAAATTGTGTCGCCGGTTTCAGTTCCAAACTAAAACCGCCGGTTTAATTTTTTAAAAAGCATGAACCTTAACTGGCCGGATAAAACCAAGGACCAATTCATGTGGCCAACTTTTTTGATCGGCCGGTTCAACCCGTGACCACGTCTACTCAATGATAATAGCTTCATGAATTTAATGAACTTCAAGGTTTTGTGTGAAGAAAATCTTACGAATGCATTTTCTAAGCACGGTGGACAATTACAATTCTGTTTTTCTATATTACCCAATCAATGTTTTATTTTAAAAATTGAATTAAATTTTAACTAGTACAACACTCGTGTATTACACGGGTGCTTGTTAATTTATTTTTTTTCTTAAAATTTAAAATTACTGAGAAAATGTAGTTGAAAATTTAAATACCTTTCGAAAATATTTATATTATTATATTTAGTATGACACTTTTTATTTGTGCGACTTGTGTTATATTATAATAATTTTTTAATTACAACATATTAACTACATTAAACATAAATACATCAATTGAGAAATAATTTTATTTTCTAATGAATTTTAGTAAATATTATTTATTATTATAAAGATGAATATAATTTATTTATTTCATATATACAATATGGGTATCAAATCGAAGATCATCAAAAGATGATTAATTTAATATATTATATATGTAAACCCGATAAGAAATACAAAAGTTATCAACTTTTAAAATACATTTACAATTCAATAGCTAATTGTAGGAAACAAATCAAAAGTCAGGGATATATTAGTCACTTAGTGACTTACTATCTAAAATTACAAAGGATTAAAGGGTTATATTAGTACAATTGATATTAAAATACCTAAGTTAGCTAAATAATATTTGTGGAATGCCCGAACCTAGATTATTAATTATTAATATATAATATTATTTGTCCAAACCTAACTACGAAGCATGATTCTTCGCCAAGTAGGATTCCGAAGCACCAGAAGCAGCCACGTAGGCTCAACGCATTCGGAAATTATATATAGGGAGGATTATATGCTCATGATAATATTAACTAGTATTCATCCTGTGCATATGCACAAAAAAATAAAAATTTATATATTATATGTATGCATAGAATATATAAAATTTTATATTAGATAATGGATGTATTACATTTTAAATTTTGATTATATGCAAATGTGTAATGTAAATATAAATTATTTAATTTACGTATGAATATTTATATTGATACCATAAATTTTAATGGACAATATAATTTAGTAATCTAGAGGGACCATACATTTAATTAGTTAGAAAAGTATTACAATTATTTTTATCAATGTTATAGCAATTGTTTAAATGATTTTAAGGTGTTTAATTATGACACTCATGCCAATTAATTAATAATAGATAAAATTCGCTTAAAAAGACAAAAAATATTTTATTTTAGAAAAACATTTTAAAG